CATTATTCATGGAAACTCTCTTAAACTCAATTTATCTACTCCCTATTCTCTTCATACCACTCATCGACCAACAAATGATTGCCATCGGCTGATTGGGTTGCAAGTTCGTCACAACGATTGTTTTCGCGATTGGAAGCATGCCCTTTGACCCATATCATTTGCACCTTATGCTTGGGATAAATGTCTAAAAATCGTAACCAAAGGTCTTTATTTTTTTTGTTTTTAAAGTTGGTTTTCACCCATCCAAAGACCCATTTTTTTTCAATGGACTCTACAACGTACTTACTGTCAGTATACATCTTAACTTCCAAACCAGGACGTGTAAGTGATTCGAGTGCTACAATAACTGCTAAGAGTTCCATTCGATTATTCGTCGTGAGTCTATACCCAGCTTGCATTTCTTTTCGAATACCTTTCCATAGCATGACTATGCCATAGCCTCCCCTTCCAGGATTACCGCGCGAAGCGCCATCGGTGTATATTTCGAGGATGTCTGCCACTGAATTGATGTGAGAAGTTAAATTTGAAATGACGGATTTGAAGATTTGAAAATGAGGGAATTTGAAGATTTGAAAATGAATTAATTTGAAGATTTGAGAAAGAGGGAATTTGAAGATTTGGGAATTATCTAATTTTCAAATTATCACATTTTCAAATTATCACATTTTCAAATTGATTTACTTCATTCCAGGCATTTTCATACCCATTCCACCCATTTTATTCATCATCTTCATCATATCTTTCATTTGGTCAAATTGTTTCATGAAGGCATTGACCTCTGCAATATCCTTACCACTTCCATTCGCAATTCGTTTGCGTCTATTTTGATCTATGATTTCTGGATTTTTGCGTTCATCTGGAGTCATAGAACCTATCATAGCTTCGATGCCTTTGAAAGCGTCGTCACTAATGTCAATATCTTTTACAGCTTTACCAATACCCGGAATCATACCCAACAGGTCTTTGAGGTTCCCCATTTTTTTGATTTGATTCAATTGGGTTTTGAAATCAT